ATCCCCACGCTAATCAAAAAAGAACAAAGAAACAAGCAACAATGGAAAAAAAAAAGATGTGAATTTTCTCAATAATAATTTTTATAATATTTTTTAGAGACTTTTCTCAATACCCAAAAGTCCATGGAGATTGAGTAAATGAAATGTATATGTATGAGGAATATTTCCGTAAAGTTAAGTTCACACTTCACATCTGAAACATCATCGTGCATGAAGAAACTGAATGAATCGGACAAGAAAATAGGTGATAGTGGTGTTTGTTTATTTATCTTCTAAAAATCTTTTTGAGGTTAAGTCCTCATAAAATATTTTGTGACAAAAAACCCGATAAAAGAGAAAATTTTACAATCTTTAGACAAACTTGCAAAGAAGTTTGGGAGTAGCCAAAATACTAAACTAGTGGTTTCCACTTGAGGAATAAATTGCTCTGTGGGTCTAGGTCAGAGTTCAATTCTCTTCGAACATGAATTATCTAATCACTTTTATTTCGTCAGTCGAAGTAGTACTACGTTTTTAGACCCACTAGAACCCGGTGCGTAACTATCGCTAAGGGATATAACTTAAGTACAAGTCTTCTAGGCCAAGGAAGACGATATTACTCTTTATATCAGTTTCTTTTATCTTGGAGATTTCCTTGTGTTGTGGAGTTAATGTAATGTAATTGCAGAAAATGGAGAAGGGCTTCAAGTTCTTCATTATGAAGTTGGACATAAATATGAACTTCACTATGCCTATTTCTTAGATGAGTTCAACGTAAAAAACAGAGGACAAAGAATCGGTACCGTCCTAAGCTTATGTACCTGTATGTAATTCATAAAAGCTCTTCTAAAACCACCTCCATTGGAAATTCTAGTATGAGTTTCTAAACATTTAAAAAAAAAAATATTCAATAAATAGGAGAGAGAGTGGGAAGAGCTTAAAGTTCTTGTTTGAAAACTATTTTCATTTTTAAAGAACCTCTCTTAATATATGTCATGTTCTAATTGGTTGAATTTTGTCATTTAATTATATAAATTAATTATTTTTAGAATATTTGTATAATGTTAATATTATATTCATTAGATACCTATTTTTAGAGACTTTAGGATGGATGTGCTTTTAGTGAAACCTAATGAGTTTCT